GGGAGAGAGGGTGAAATCCAAGAAAAGGTCCCTGGCTGGGGCATTGGGGGTTGGTGGTGCCTCCCAGAACAGGTCTGGAAGATTCTGAGCCCAGTGCGGGCCACCCAGCAGCAGGGGCCAGGAGGCTGCATAGCCCTGGGTCTGGAGCTTAAGAGAGAAATTGGGGCTGGGAACCAAGATTTGAGGATCACCAGAGGTGGTGACTGAAGTTGTGGGTGTTAGCGATCTAGCCTGGAGAGGGTAGGAGGGTGAATGGAGACAAGGACCCAACAGAACTCTGACAGAAGGGGACACCTAAGGTTTAAGCAAAGGAATCGAGGGTCTCGAAGATTGGAAAGGAGCAGCCAGACAGGAAGGCGTGAGAAGAGGTCATTTCATGCCAGGGTGGGGGATATCACAAACCCCATCCACTACCCTTACATTTAAGCAAAAACTTTCACACCCTATAGAGTAGTTGTGGTTGAAAGACACACAAAGACTCATTTATTCATCCAACAACACTTAGGTACCTAATATGTATGTGTCAGGTGCTGTTCAAGGTTCTAGAAATTCAACAGTGGAACAAAGCACACAAATATCTCCGCCCGACGCTTACGTTCTGGTTGAGGGGACACAAACAATAAATAAATAAATACAATGTGACTCAGTGATAGTACTATGGAGTAAAATAAAGCAAGCTGAGGGGATGGAGTGATGAGGTCAGCACTATTTTAGATGGGGAAAGACCTCTTGGATCAGGTGAGATTGGAACAGGTATCTGAAGACATGAAGGGGTTCGGGCACCCAGGTGGCTCACTTGGTTAAGTGTCTGACTTTTTTTTTTTTTAATGTTTGTTTATTTTTGAGAGAGAGAGACACGGCGGAGCAGGGGAGGAGCAGAGAGAGAGGGAGACACAGAATCTGAAGCAGGCTCCAGGCTCTGAGCTGTCAGCACAGAGCCCGATGTGGGGCTCAAACCCATGAACCGTGAGATCATGACCTGAGCCGAAGTCGGATGCTTAACCGACTGAGCCACCCAGGCACCCCAGCATCTGACTCTTGATTCTGGCATGGGTCATGATCTCACGGTTCATGGGTTTGAGCCCCGCATTGGGCTCTGCACTGACAGTGTAGAGCCTTCTTGGGATTCTCTCTCTGCCCCTCCCCTAATATCTCTCTCTCTCTCTCAAAAATAAATAAGTAAACATTAAAAAAAAAAAAAGGAAATGAAAGGATAAACATAAGGGGAAGAGGGTTCCAGGGAGAAGGAACAGCAAATGCAAACAGCAACAGTGGCAGGATTATTTGCAGAACCACAAAGAGGCTAACGTGGCTGGAGTGGGGTGAGCAAAGAGGACGGTAATAGAAGACAAGGTCCAAGTGGTAATTGAAGAGGGGTGGTGGCAGATAAAGGCCACCGTAAGGACTTTAGCTTTTACCCAAATAATATGGAACCATAGGGGGATTTTGACAGAGGAAGTATGTTGTATGCCTTGGGTTTTATTAGGATCCCTCTGGCAGTCCTAGAGAGTATTCTAGAAGAGTAGACTGTGTGAGGGGAAGCAGGGGGACAGTGAGGAGGCTGCTGGGAGAGTGAGGACAGGGAGGAGGCTGCTGGGCAGGACCAGAGTACAGGCCATGGTGGTGGTGGGGAGGGTGGGAAGTGGGCAGGTTCTGGTTACATTTTGAATTTCAGAACCAGGAAGTTCTGATGTATGATGAGCTGGGTTAAAGATGACTGAGATCCATGGGGCGCCTGGGTGGCTCAGTCAGGTGGGCGGCCGACTACAGCTCAGGTCATGATCTCGCGGTCTGTGACTTCGAGCCCCGCATCGGGCTCTGTGCTGACAGCTCAGAGCCTGGAGCCTACTTCCGATTCTGTGTCTCCCTCTCTCTCTGCCCCTTCCCTGCTTGCACTCTCTCTCTCTCCCAAATAATAAGCATTTTTTAAAAATTTAAAGATGACTGAGACCCAGGTGGACACATCCGCTGGGCAGCTGCGTGTAGGAGTCTAGAGTTCAGGGAGAGGGCCAGGCTGGAGAAATGCTTAGGGTGTCCCCTTTGAAAGCTGAGAAACTGGATGAGATCAGGAGGCGAGGAAGGTAAAGGGAAAAGAGAAAGGACTGAGCCCCTAGAACACCCCACTGTCAAGAGGAAGAATCAGCAAGAGAAGCCAAGAAGGAGCAGCTAGAGGACTCAGAGGAAAACCAGGCCAGGGTGTTGTTCTGAAAGCCAAGTGAAGAAAGTGTATCAGGGCACAGGGAGTGATGGACGATGTCACATGCAGCCGACAGCACATGACAGACGAAGACTGAGAAATGACCATTAGGTCATTGGTGGCCCTGACAAGGGTATGTCAGGGAATGGGGACGGGAGTGACAATCTGCTGGGAGAGAGTTGAAGAGAAAATTGGGAGGAGAAACTGCAGGCAGTGAGCGTAGACGATTCCTTCTAGAAGTTTTGCTAAAAGGGAAGGAAATGAATGGGCAGTGGCTGGATGGAAGATAGGATTCTTAGTGTTTAAAAAGGAAGACATAACCCCACGTGGAGGCCGAGAGGAAAGATCCAGTGGGGGTGGGAACATTGGTGATGCAGAGAGAGGGAGGACAGCCACAGTGAGACCGTAAGCAGATGGGACAGGGTGGGCACCAGTGCCCATGGAGGGGCTTGCGGAAAGCTTGTTCACTGCACTTGTCCATGGGGCCAGCACAGGGGGCCAGCCAATGTGGAGCTGGGACCTGCGAAGATTCTTTTTTTTTTAATGATTATTTTTGAGAGAGGCAGCAAGTGGAGGGAGAGGACAGAGAGAGAGAGAATCTCAAGCAGGCTAAGCGCTGTCAACACAGAGCCTGATGCGGGGCTCGAACCCATGAACTGAGAAATCATGACCTGAGATGAAACCAAGAGTCCGGCGCTTCACCGACTGAACGCCCCCCCCCCCCCCCCGCCCCAGGTGCCCCTATGAAGAGTCTCTTTGGTTTGCTTATATTTTCTCACTGAAATACATGGATTTTTCCCATACATTACATTCCCTTTTATTTCTCCTTTGTATGACAGGACATTATATTGATTCGGGGGGGGGGGGGGGAGGAGGAATTTATGTACATAAGTAGGTTACTTTACCCAGGAATTTCATTTCAGAGTGGGAAAGGGGCAACACAAAATGCACTTAATAAAAAAGGGGGTACCAGTCTGACAGAATTGAACACCACTGTTGTAGGGCCGATTATTAGGCCCCTGAGGTTGAATGGCAGGCAAAAAATTCACCATTACCTGGGCTCTGTGGAGCCTCCATTTCCCCATCAGCACAACAAATGACAGTTTGATTAGCAAACATCCCTAAGTTCCCCCTTTTCTGCTCCAGAATTAAAATATTCCAGATGGGAGAGATCCAGGAAAGCTTCCTGGAGGAGGGGAGGAGTTAAAGAGCTCATTGTTATGTACTCTGTATTGAGTATGACCACCATACCAGGAGGTATGTGAAGCTCTTTTATCCTCACAAGAATCCTGAACCAGAGGGGCGAAGTTATTTAGCTAGGATCACACAGCAAGGCAGCATTCGAACCCAGGTCTAGGTGATTGCAAAGCCTGGGAGGTCCTGGCAGATGAGGGGAAGGAAGGAAGGGGAGGGGCCTTCTGAGACAGTTGTCCCAGAATGGGCATAAACAGGATGTGGTGGTGGATGAAACCTTTCCCCTGCCCCACACCCCGCCCCCTGAAGCCTTGGTCCCCACCCCTAGAAGACAGCGGAACTGAGAAAAGAAGAGGCCTGTGGACAGAAAAGTCATGGTCAGGGGGCCAGGGGTTGTATGGGAAGGGCTGGGGGCTGGGAGAGTGCCTGGGCGAAGGTCAGGCTGTGGGATAGAGGTCAGGGGCTAGGAGGGTGACCCCTGTGCCAAAGGGCCTGGCTGGGGGGAAGAGAGATGCCGTTTCCGGGTTTAGCCCCAGGCAGGCAGATCCTTGGGTCCCCTTGACCGTTCCCCAAGTGTGCCTGCTGAGAGGGCTGGAGTCCAGCCTCTACTCTGCACCCCAAGGGTGTGCATGGTAAGGGACAGTGTCTGCCCTAAGGAAAGGGCACTTTTTCCTAATGTTCACAGGAGCATCCTATGAGCCGTCAGGGCCCTCCTCTTTACTAGTGGAGAAACTGAGGTTTGGGGAAGGGGGCAGGGGCTGGGTCCAGGTCAGCTCAGCTATTCTTGGGCTTCCCTGGCAGTCCGATTCCCTGGTGGTGTGCGAGGTGGACCCAGAGCTAAAGGAAAAGCTGAGGCAATTTCGCTTCCGAAAAGAGACGGACAACGCAGCCATAATAAGTGAGTGTCATCTTCTCCCCTGGAAGGATGGGTGAAGGGGTGGGGACAAACGAGGAAGTCTGCGCCAGTGTCACGGGCGGGCGGATGGAAGGGGCGTCTAACCCCTGTGTGCCATCCCTCCCCAGTGAAGGTGGACAAAGACCGGCAGATGGTGGTGCTGGAGGAAGAATTTCAGGTGAGGGGCTGGGAGGGATGGGACCCCCCCCCCCCCCCCCCGCAGAAGTGCAGGGTGGGACTGGGAGAGCCAGGGGGCTGGAACCGATGCTCAGAGCTTGACACTGGGGGCCAGAAAGGCCTGGGGGTCAAGTTCCGGCTCAGTTGTGACTCGAGGCAAGAGATTTCACCTGCATGGGTCTGTTTCCTCATCTGTGAAATGGGGATACCGGTACCTCTCTCTCAGGGTTGTCTATGGATTCAATGATTTAATCCTTGTAGTGGGTTTAGAAGAAGGCCTGGCTCAGTGAAATGATGATGATGACGGTGACGATATTTTATTGGCACTTAAATGAGAGTTTCCAGAGAAGTAAAAAAAAAAAAAAAAAAAAAAACCAAAACCAGCGGAAATCCTGTAAAAGGGTAGAGCCCACCCTTTCTTTCCTCGCTGTCTTTATCAGTAACATGGGGATGATAATAAAGCTTACTTCATAGTATCGTGGTAAGAATTTGGGGGAGGGTGGCCCACGGAGGCTGACGCTGGGGCTGATCGACGGGAGGGGGAATTGGCCAGGAGCTGGGCTCTCTCAGGTCCTCTGAAAGGCAGTGCAGCAAATGGTTACGATTTGAACCCAGGTTCAAATCTGAATCCTGCTGCTCGCTATCTGCAACCTTGAACAGGTGTCGTAACAACTCTGGGCCTCAGTTTGCTTACCTGTAAAGTGGGGGTAATAACAGAACCTACCCCACAGCCTTGTGGGAAAGGTCAATGAGTTGATCTATGTGTGTTTCTTAGACCAGTGTCTTGGCAAGTGCTTGGAAGTGCTTATTTAATGTCAGTGTTTTCTCCCCCCCCCCCCCCGAACATTTCTCCAGAGGAACTAAAAACAGAGCTGCCAGAGAGACAGCCGAGGTATTGTGGGGGAAGGAAGGGGAGGGTCAGGCCAGGGGGAGAGGGGTGATGACGAAGGAAGAGACAGAGGGGCCCCTTGGATTCCTGTCTTAATCACGGGCTCTGATCCGTGTTTGAGGCCACGAATTCACACCCCAGGACCTTTTGTTTATTGCAGAGTTTTATACTGACAGTCACATGACATTAGAGCTGGATTATTTTTTCCTTTGGGTACAAACTTTGTTAGATTTCGGTCTCCTTATTGCATTTCATTAAACAAAAAATGAAAAAAAAAGTCCTTTTTCAACGCACGAGAATATTTGGGGCGGCAGAGGAGTTATTTGACCTTTAACGATTGGAGGGAATCCTGTGAGAAGCCACACGAGGCTGGTGCTTTTTGTATGGAGGAGCTCTTTGACCCTTCTATGAAATCTAGTCTGTTTAGAGTTTTCATCTCCACTGGGGTGAATTTTGGGTGCCCCGGGATTGCAACCCTCAATCTCAGGCTCTAGACCTCAGCCAGGATCAGCTCCCTAGGTATCTGACAAGTATAGTCACATTGGGCCTCATCGACAGAAGGGAAGCCTCAAACACAGGGCTTTTTTTTTTTTAAGTTTATTTACTTTGAGAGAGAGAGAGAGCAAGAGTAGACAAGGGACAGAGAGAAAGGGGGAGAGAGAGAATCCCAAGCAGGCTCCACACTGTCAATGCAGAGCTCGATGTGGGGCTCGAACTCACGAACTGTGAGATCATGACTTGAGCCAAGATCAAGAGTTGGATGCTTAACTGACTGAGCCACCTATGTGCCCCTCGAACACAGGGCTTTAATGCTCTGCGGCCACCTGCCATCTGGAAATTTTTTATGGTTTTATCTTTGAATTTGTGTTTTGTGTAAGGGTCTGATACGACAATGGAGCATGTGCTGGGGGCTCGGAGCCTCCTCCGGCTCACACATGGTCCCTCCTCCAGCCCTGGACAGCTTCTCCCCTGGTCACTGCCACCCAGTGAGTGCTGCTGCCCTCTGCCCCAGTCAGGGGCCTGAGTGCACATGTCGGGGGAGGGTCAGAGTCAGGGTCAAGGTTGGCACACACCCCCTGCATGACAAGTTCCAGGGTTTGTCTGCAAGCATCTGTACTTCCCCTGCGTGTGTGCTCATGCCCAAGAGAGCCTGACTTTATGTAGCAAACGTGACAAGACTGTAATCACGGGGCACCCAGGTGGCTCAGTCTGTTAAGCATCCAACTCCAGATCAGGTCATGATCTCCCAGTTTGTGGGTTCGAGTCCCTCATCGGGCTCTGGGCTGACAGCTCAGAGCCTGGAGCCTGCTTCGGATCCTGTGTCCCCTTGTCTCTCTGCCCCTCTCCCATTCACACATGCTTTCTCTCTCTCAAAAAAAGTAAACTTTAAAAAAACAGAAAGACCACAGTCAGTCTGGAGACAGACTGCAGAAGAAGAACAGCCTTTCTCCTGCCTTTGGAACAACAGGCCCCATGTGTTCATTTTGCGCTGGGCTTGGCAAGTTATGTGGCTGGCCCTAGTCTCAGGCCAGAGATCTAGAGCTCTGGACAGTACTGCATAGTGCTTGAGCCCTTACACTCCGGCACTGAATTTCCTGAGCTCAAATCTTTCCTCTGTCCACAGAACCTCGGGTAAGTGACCTTACCTCTCTGGGCCTCAGTTTTCCCATCTGTAGTATGGGGATAATAATAGCACTTATGTCATCGGTTATTGTGAATCGAACAAGCACCTCCTATTTGATTTTCATTTTGCATTTGAGGCCAGTGTCCTGGGTCTCCTCTGTTAACCCTAGGCCCTCAGACTCAGGCAAGATTTCAAGATTGTGGGCTCCGGCAATGGGCCCTGGACCTGGGCGCCAGGCCGAAGTATTGAATTTGAATCCCCTTTCACTGGTGTAGGTTCGTGGTTTACAGCTACAAGTATGTGCACGAGGACGGCCGAGTGTCCTACCCCTTGTGTTTCATCTTCTCCAGCCCCGTGGGTGAGACACAGCTGACACCTGTCCTGATAAGGGGGGGGGGGGTCTTAGATGCTGTGTGTGCGGCATGTGAGAGCGTGTATGTGGGTGCAGGTACTTGTGAGCGGGCACTGTGTGAATGTGTGTATACGTGACTTGGTGAGTACGGGAGCGTGTGGTGCATGTGGTGTGTGCGTGTGTGTGGTGTGTGGGTGTTGGGAGGGCAGCGGGGTGGGGGTGGGGGCTCAGATTCTTTAAGAATCCACCCATCCTCCTCAGTCCCAAGGTGTATAAGCAAGTTAGCCTTTTCCTTTTCCTTAGAAGCCCTGTCTGGCCTCTAAACCATCTCCAGGAACCCTCGGAATAGCAAGCCCCCAAACAAGTCCCAAAACTCTGAGTAGAGCTTCAAGAGACCACCTTGGAACAGCTCCCAAGACCCTTAGAAAAACTTCAGGGCCTGTATGACGTTGCTAGGGCCTTAGTGATAACCGGGGTCCCCCAGTTATGCTCCCTTCTCCTTTTTCCCATGCAGGCTGCAAGCCTGAACAACAAATGATGTATGCGGGGAGTAAAAACAGATTGGTGCAGACGGCGGAGCTCACGAAGGTCTGGGCCTGGGGCTGGGGCTCCCCAGTGTTAGGGAGGAGGAGGGGGAGGGTCTGGGCTTCCAGGTCTGAGGGAGGATGGGCTGAGGGTCCGGGACTCCAATTCTGAGGGAGGAAGGGGCCGGCCGGCGTGCTCGCCTCTGAGTTCCTGATTGGATCTCAACGCTGAGACCTCTCCCCGCCCAGGTGTTTGAAATCCGCACCACTGAAGACCTCACCGAGGCCTGGCTCCAAGAGAAGTTGTCTTTCTTTCGTTGACCTCTGGGTTGGGGAACTGAAATCCTCATGTCTGAATTCCTGAAGAGACTGGGAACTCGGACCCCTAAGGACCTGAACATCCGAAACCCTAAAGAAATTAAAATGCAAGAACTCCTCAGCAGGAGGAGTTTAATTTAAAGAAATTAAAATGCAAGAGATCCTCAGCTCTCAGTTTGTTTCTCATTGTGGGCCCTAGCCCACAGTCCCTGCAGTACCGGCCTTGGGCCAGCAGAGGGCAGGCAGACCAAGTGGATGGCCGTGAGTCCCAGGAGGAAAAGAGGATACCGATTTCTCAGAAAGGGAGGGGCCTGTAGGTTTTTCTAGGGTGTGTGGGTGTGTGGGTGGGTGGGAGGATGGAAGGGGGGCTAGGCTTCCTGGAGGAATGGGAAAATATCTGAATCCAGGAGGGGCCACTCCCAAGGGGAATAAGGACACCTGGATTCCTGAGAGGAAAAACAGGCCGAGTGCCCATTTTCCCTCCTCCCACTTTCCCTCCTCCCACTTTCCCACCCCCGGCTCTAGGGGCATCAGACATGAGCTTGCACTGAATGCTACTTTCCTCAGTGAGCCCCCAGGCAGGAAGAATTTAAAGGCAGAAAAGTTGTTAAAGGATCAAATGTAATTGCTTCAAGGGAGTTGCTGGGGTGAGTGGTTCGTGTATTTAGGTAGGTCTGGGGGCCCCAGACTGGGATAGGGGAGAGGATCCTGGACTCTCAGTGGACCCCTGAGGGGTGTGAGGTTGAAGGGCAGGAAAGGGACACCTTACCCGCCCCAGTCTGGAGAGTTTTCTTTCTTCTGGCATCTCTGAGTCTTTGACTCTCTCAGCCTCTCTTTGTCCCTGAGGGACATTTATTGAGCACCCACGGTGTACCAGGCTCCGAGAGTTCTGAGATGGGCAGGTCTTCACAGAGATAAATCACCCTTTCTTTCTCTTTGCTTCTCCTCCTGGTCTCTGTTCCTCCCTCTGTCCCCAGATCCAGGGACCTGGGAGCTCCCTCCCCACCCCCCCTTCCAGGTTCCCTGTTGAGAGGTGTTCGTTGCCATGGAAACAATGACACAATGACCTTGGGTTTGGGTAGCCCCTCCCCCAGCCCTGTCATTCCTGGGGGAGGGTCCACAAGCCCAGCTCCAAGCCCTCCCCAGCCCTCCCCGCCAGAGCACACCATCCCCCTCACCACTCCGCTCAACTCAACACTTGCCCCCCTTGTTTCCAGACTGGACCAGCCCTTTGCAAAGATAAAGTCGCCCCCCTCTCTCCGCCCCCTGCCAGCATTTGGGGGAGGGGCGGATTTGAGCTCCTCTCTGACACCAGTCCTGGTGCCCTCCCCACCCCATCTCTGGCCAGGCACGTCTCTACTTCTCCCTCTGATCATAGCCTCAGTCTCTGATGGCTAGAGATGGAAGAAGAGGGCTGGGGATAGGAGGGGCCGTTCAATTAAGAGGCCAAGCAACTGCCGTCCTGCAGAGGTCTGAGAGGCAAAAGAACTTGTCCAAGGTCATGCACTTACGTGATCAAATTAATAACAGTTAACGCTCTGATTGAGGGCTTCCTATGTGCCAGGTACTTGCATAAGCACTTTATAGGTATTAACTCATTTAATCCTTACAATACCCTATGAAGATGGCATCCTTATTATCCCCAATTTACAGATGAGTAAACTGAGGCAAAAATTTTGGCAAAGCCAAAGGTAATTGCCTGAAGTCCCACTGGTAGTGGTTTGTACAGTTAAAACTTCCAACTCAAGGCTATCTGGTGGTCAATGGCCACTCCCTTTCTCAGGCAGGGGGTTTAGGGAATCAGCTCTTCCTCCTCCCCACGTAGTTGAACTTCTGTCGGCATCCAGGCTCATGATTGCAAACAATCCAATCAGAAAGAAGCATGTACGAGGAGTTGCCCAATCAGGAGCAGGGAGTTTGGAAAGCAAGGACCAATCAGAGAGGGTGGCTCTAGGGACTGCCCAATGCAGAGTAGGTTTGGCTAGAGGGATTGTGGGGGAACCAATCAGAGAGGCCATAACAGAATACACTATCCAATGGAGAGTCAGCACAATGGGGCGTGGCTCTAGCTTTGGGGCCACTCCTTCAAGGGGCCCCCAAACAAACTAGGGACCACCTTCTCTCCACCAACCTTCTCCTGGGCTTCCGCAGATCCAGGCTCCGTAATTTTTAAATCCAGGCTGTAGGTTTTCCCTGGGGGCACTTCTCCTTGCTAACCTTCAAGGAAAGTAGGGCTTATGTTGGAGAGGAAGAAACGGGATTTAGGGCAGAACTGAGAATGGCAAAAAGACTAGGCAAAAGGGACCAGTGCCCGGCCTGAAAGCTAGATGCTTTTGGGGTGGAGTTTAAGGTGCGGGGGGGGGGGGGCCCCGCGCGCCGGGGCTCCGGGGGGGGGGATTGGTGGGTGGACCTAGGCCTGAGTGGCAAACTTAGGTCAGAAAGGGCTGGGGAGTTTTGCTTTGGGCGGAGTCTTGGAGACCGGGTGGACCTAGGCTTGGGGGCGGGGCTGAACTGTGGAAGTGTGAGAATGGTTTTGGGTCTCTTAGAAAATCTGGGTCAGGAGTCAACACAGAGGGAAACTTCTACCTGTTGCCCTCTTTTCAGGCCAATTCACATTCCCTGACCTTAGGGGACATTCTCTCGCCGCCCCCCCCCCCCCCCGGGGTATCCCCCTTCCCTTCCAGTGACCCCAGGCTGGGGCATTATGTTTATTGCTGAGTGTGGCCCCTGCAGTGAGTCTGGAGTGGGCCCGGCTCCCAGGCCTTCTCCTAAGAGGCACTCAAGAACACGTCTTTACTGAGCACCTCCTGGGTGCCGTTCATTGTTGTGGACACCAGAGAAAAGTGGTGCCCATGCCACTCCCCTCAGGAGGCTTATAGATCAATGACTAGACAATAGGCAATAAACAGAGAAGTACACAGTAAAGAGGCGAAGAAGCAAACACGATGATTAACAAGCATAAGTGCCATGTAGGAAATAAAATGAGGTGATGTGATAGAAATAGTGGGACCTGTTGGGACTATGCTTTTGCTGCCTCCTTAGTCTCTAGGAGAGCCCTCTGGCTCACCTCCCAACATTTATTATGAAAGATTTCAAACAGGCAGCAAAGTTGAAAATAATTTTACAGTGAACACCCATATACCCACCACCTAAATTCTACCATTAATGTTTTATCTTACTTGCTTTGTCACAAACCCATCCATCAACCCTTCGGTCAATCCATCTTATTTTTTATGTATTTCAGAGTAACCTGCAGACATGGGGACAATTGGTAGGGGTGCAGGTGTGAACTGGGGCTGGGAAAGGAAGGCCTCTCGGAAGCGATTGCATTTGAGTTAAGACTTGGATGAAAAGGAGGAATCACTACAGTGGGGAAAGAGTGCAAAGACCCCAGGAGCTGTGATGAACTGATATATTGGAGAAGTAGAAAGATCATGGTTGGTTGGGACAGGGAAACCAGAGCTCTGGGAGGAGGTCAAGAGGTGGGCGGGGCCAGAGTTTCAGTCTGTGGGGTGGGGGTGGGGCTCTCTGCTTGGGCTCAGGCTCTTTGTTTCCCTATCTCTGAGGATCTCTGTCTCTCTAATTTTCATCTATCTTCTCATCCTGTCTTTTTCCCTCCTGTCCATCCCAGGTCCGCCCTCCCCTTCCTTTCCCTTATCTGTGTGACTTGAGGCAAGTTACCCAACCTCTCTGTGGTTTTATTTTCCTCATCTGTAAAATCAGGATGTGATGGGGCCTCCTCGCCTGGCTCCTGGAAGGATTAACTGAAGTCATGTATGTGAAGCCCATAGAGCCATTCCTGGCACACAACAGTGCTGGACATGTGTCCACTTTTGCTGTTGTTACTATTCTCTCTCCGTGCTCCCA